CCAAAGTTGGTAACATTATAGGCCAACTCAATTTGAAAAGGCATTTTACTCGCCAAACATTAATTTTGTCACGCCTTGAACAACATTTAAAAGGACAAAGAAGAATGACAATTAAAATTCATTGGAAAGTTTATATTCGAAAGCACACAACCATTTATTTTTGTAATCCTTGTACTGTGACCTACATTGTGATATGGCATGAAGCTCACTTTAATTATTTCGGCGTGAAACCTCACGCCTCCTTTGGCAATGCTTCGTTCTGCAATATACGTCTATAATGGCATTCAAGCCATTATGAATATCGATGTGGAGAAAGACATTTATATGTTGACTGAAATTTTAATTCAAGAGTTCGGTTTGTAATATAATGAAAAAAATGATATAAATTTTTGCGGTTGAAGTGACTCCTTACGAAGAGCCCAAAATTCTCAAATATTTTATTCATAGACAAATCTGCCATAGTCTGTAATTGAATATAAAGTTTAATAATTAAATTTACAAATTATATTAATACTTCATAGAAATAACGTTTTATATTACGCTGCACAACAGTGAGTTTCTCCTTAATTCAAAGTTGTGTACTTTCAGTCTGTTTTATAAGATACGATAATAGTACCGAAAATGTTCTATATTCCACAATTTTCTCTACAAATCTACACTTGTCATTTGTTTGAAAATAATTATTTGAAAATAAGTAACATCTTACAAATAATCGGTTAGGAGAGTGTTACGCCTGAAAGTGTTGGTTCATACAATACAAAATGTCTCAGTCATTTGTCAGAAATTGGTGTGTCATGAGCTGATTGGTCGAAACACCACTATGTAATATCCAGTGCTACCGATTCTATTAACGTCACACTGCTTCCAAGAGATTAAGGTATGTATTGTGTTGCGAACTGAATTCATAAGTCGAGGGCATTATTTACCCAAATAATAAAAATGAACCTGAAGTACGAAAAATACATCGCTGTGTAAATACAAAGACGAAGCTGTCAAATATCGTCTTTTGTTTCATTACCCGCTGAATCACTACTGAAATAAAACTGCATCAAATGTAATTTACGATTACGACATAACAGACGTTAAAGGCCGTGATTCTACTGTAGTTCTCGTAAATTAAAAAGGAAAAATGTAAATTGCATATCCTAAATCTCTTCGTTATTACAGAGAAACTTACCACAATAACAAGTTATCACACAACATGACAACGCGTTATCACATACAGTTCTTGTCAGGAAATAACTATCTCTGCTGTCAAGACAAATTAATATTATTTATCGAAATAATTTTCATATTTTATCTAGAGCCTCCCATAATAGCTGACGTACGTCGTAATGTATTGATTAGCACTACTTCGTTTCCGGGAGGTTCCGGGTTCAAATTTCGTATCTGGTGAGAAGCTATCCTGTTCGAGGGTGTTCATGGTTTTCCTCATATTCCAGTAATTCATTTTACGTGCTTTAAATCAATGAAAATTATTCTGTCATTCCATTTTGTATAACAAATAGGCCTTAGTGTTGCAAAAGAGCCGTTAAATAAGGAAATAATAAAGTAAACAAGTAAAGCTGTCCCAGTATACGTCATGTAGGCGCTTGGGGGAGAGGTACAAACCTTAAAGGTTTGGCGGTGATTTAAATTTAAATAGTTGTCTTCTAGGTTGTGACAACGTGTAGTTTCGTAAGCATTTTGCAATGTTTCAGAGGAACATGCGTCCATCTTCCAAATATAACATTAGCGTTTTAGTATGGTGGGAACTTAAATTTTAATTTGAATTTGAATTCTATTACAAATTTTCAATGGAGT